AAGTTTAATAATAAAATAATTTATTTTTGATTTAATATTATAAATTTTATAAAAATAATAATTAAGTATTCTGTTAGAATTTAATGATTATATTAATTATATTTTAGATTTTTTATATTTAAAATGAAATATTTATCCTGTATTTGATTGTGTTTATCTGCAGTTAGTTACACGAATTCAGATATGGGATAAAATCGGATAGAGATTAAATCGTTTTGGGATGAACGAGTTTAAGAGTTTTAAGAGTTTTTAAGAGTTTTAGTCAAATGCTTTATAAGATAGTATAGATATAGATTTAATTTAAGTTTAATAATAAAACAATTTATTTTTGATTTAATATTATAATTTTTTTTGTAAGGGTGTCCGGGCCAAAGCTTAATATTATAAATTTTATAAAAATAATAATTAAGTATTCGGTTAGAATTTAATGATTATATTAATTATATTTTAGATTTTTTATATTTAAAATGAGATATTTATCCTGTATTTGATTGTGTTTATCTGCAGTTAGTTACATGAATTCAGATATGGGATAAAATCGGATAGGGATGAATGGGTTTAAGAGTTTTTAAGAGTTTTAGTCAAATGCTTTATAAGATAGTATAGATATATATATATATATATATAATGGTTGGGTTCACGTGAGACCAAGGGTTTTTCATGAGACCCATAAGACCAATTTATGTTCATTGATCAACTTTATAAGCATATGATCTAATGGTCTAAAGTTCCAAGGTGACAATTTGTAATTATTGAGAAGTCTCGTGGCGTTTACAAATGTTCAGATCTAACGATTGTAGATCTTATCCAAGGGTTGAGAATTGGTTTTACGGGTCTCACGAAAAACTATTGGTCTTACATGATCCCAAATCTATATATATAGGGTTGGGTTCACGTGAGACCAAGGGTTTTTCGTGAGACCCGTAAGACCAATTTATGTACATTGATCAACTTTATAACATATGATCTAATGGTCTAAAGTTGCACGGAAACAATTTTGTAATTATTGAGAAGTCTCGTGGCGTTTATGAATGTTCAGATGTAACAATTGTAGATCTAATCCAAGAGTTGAAAATTGGTCTTACGGGTCTTCCGAAAAACTATTGGTCTCACATGATCCCAAGACTATATATAGGGGCACGTTCAAATGAAAATCGTGCATTTCTAAGAAACCGTGTAAACCAATTTCGACTAATAGGAAAATTTCTTTTTTTTCTAATTAAATTTAATCAATAAGGGTATTTCGGTCATTTACAATATTTTCTATTAAATATGAAAGTTATTAATAAATCTTAATTAAGGAAACGTAATAAAGAAAATTGTATAAATGATAACATTTAAATATTTAATTATATTAAAATATTAAAATTTTGGATTTCATATATTGTCATGAGTTATAATCAGGAAACGTGTCTTGATGAAACAATTGAATTATAGAATAAAATCATCAAAACGTAGATGAACAAAAAAAAATCCACAAAATGAAATAGGTTTCATRAACGTGAAACCGGTTCATGTTGCAAAGAAATTAGGTGAACCGAAACATTTTTATGGTGAACGCGTTGCATTGATGGGGTAGTTACTCCTTTTTTTTATGAGAAGCAGAATGAAACCGGTGCATTTTGAAAAAAATTATGAAAAGGAAAATGAAACAGGTTTCATGAACGTGAAACCAGTTCATGTTGCAAATAAATTAGGTGAACCAAAACATTTTTATGGTGAAACTGTTGCATTGATGGTGTAGTTGATTCATTTTGTTGATGAAAAGAAAAATGAGACCGGTGCATTTTGAAAATAAATTATGAAAAGGAAAATGAAACAGGTTTCATGAACGTGAAACCGGGTCTTGTTGCAAATAAATTATGTGAACCGAAACATTTTCATGGTGAAACCAATTTCGTTCATATAATGTAATTCAAAATTTAAAACGATTCACTCTACATAATTGAATATGGTGTGTTATATTCATTTTTTTATATGTTTTACTGATGGATGTGATTTAAAGTTAAAAATAATATATTGTTTTAAAAAATGAAAATAGTGTCATTAATATCGAGAAGGATGTTACCAAATGTTAAATTTTGTTTACCATTTTTGCTCTTACTGTTGAAATAAAATAAATTTTTAATATATATGTGTATATATACCCGTCGGCCCGTGTTATATACATATGTATACACGATGTGTATATATTCGGTTTTATTGGGCCTTAATTCATTTATTGGGTTTTATTTAATTTTATTGGGCCTTAACGGGATTTATTGGATTTTATTGGGTCTCAACCTATTTATTGGATTTTATTCAATTTTACTGTGCTTTAAGGGTTTTATTCATTTTTATTGGATCTTAATGGACTTTAATCATTTTTAGTGGGCCTTAATGAGCTTTATTCGGTTTTATTGGAATTTATTAAATATTAATTAATTGATAACTAATTAAAATATCAATTATATTTATTAAAAACAAATAATATTAATAAATAACAAATATTTATTAATTAATAATTGATCAGCGAGTGATTAACGCAAGAACTAGTTTTTAACCAATTTTCTCGTTGATCCCTCACTGATCTGCGAGGGATCAACGAGGGAACTGATTTTTGGCTATTCCCTTGTTGGTCTATCGTTGAGCAGCGGGAGAACTGGTTTTTGCCAATTCTGTCGCCGATCCCTTGTTGATCACTGGAACTGGTTTTTGGCCATCCCCCCCCCCCCCGATCCCTCGTTGATCAGCGAGGGAGCTAGTTTTTGCCAATTCTCTCATCGATCCCCCGTTGATCCGTGGAACTAGTTTTTGGCCATTCCTCGCTGATCAGCGAGGGAACTGGTTTTTGGACATTCTCTCGCTGATCCTCACTGATCAACGAGGGAACCGGTTTTTGCCAATACCTTCGTTGATCAGCGAGTGATTTTTTTCATCGCTGATACTTTGTTTTCTAGTAGTGTGACCATCAAGAAGGGGCAAGTCCGATCATCAGAGCGTTAACTCAGGCTTTGGTTTATGGACTCTGGCATACATTCTAATATTGGTTGTAATGTCTTACAATCTTGGTGCTTTTATTTTTAGGGTGGTAGGACACATTGTTGGGTTTTTTCTAGTGAAGTTTCGGGTGGCTTTGAAAGCTAAGGGTGGATCCAGTATGACGCTTTACCATAAATACCGTTCAAAATAGCGTAAAAACAAATTTCGATTTTTAAATAACTACTCACTTGACCCTAATCGTAAGGATATGCTTTAAGATCTTGAAAGCATGTATATGAATTAATTAGTCGGTAGCATGTTATCTTCGAAGAAATTATGATGTAGTAAGTGGTACCTCTCTACGTATACGTATCTATTTTACTGGCAAATATGTACATGGATAATCTTGTCATATGCTTTATTAACATGAATATGTATAACCTTCTCATGAGTTTCTTAAAAGAAAATATGCATGTTCTTCTCAAGAGCTCGAAGAACAACATACATTTGTTCGATTATTGAAAAGATCTATACATATAGTGTTAATATAAGATATTGATTGACGAAATGTATATTTAATTATATTACTAATCAGCAAGATACAAATTGAGAAGTCTTTCGTTACTATTAAATTCCTTAGTCTGTCGCGTTATCTAGTTGGTGCTTAAAAACACAAGACATTTAACATTAAAATAAAGAAAAATATAAAACGATTGAAATGCCTCAAAAGTTTATGGAGGAAATGGATGCCTCTTTGTTCGTATGGCCAAATATGAGGAAATTGACTTAAATAATCATTCTATCTATTTAAAATTTGATCTTTTAATCATTTCTTTTTTGGATTTATCTAAATATCATTACGTATGCAATCTCCAAATTTGCAATATTGCATAAGTGGCTAAAAGACAGAAAAAGAATTATCAGACTCAACCCCATTATGACAACGAGATCCACGTCACTTGCTAACTTGGTGGAATTTGAAAAAGAAAATTGTCTTTTAGCCTGGTCCATAATATTAGGGACGTGAATATTAGTAATATTTGAGTAATTTCAAAAGAGAAATGGCTTAAAAACCAATTTAAATAGGTGGTGGAATGATTATTTGAGTAGTTTCCCCAAATATGCTTAGCTTAATCCATCCCAATCCCATACCCAAAAAGGCACAAAATCAATCAATGGAAAAAAAAAAAAAAAAAAGTAGAAATAGAAATAGAAATAGAAAAAGAAAAAGCGGTTGTAATGGGGCTTCTTCAACCACCAACCTCCCTCCATATTAATGCCCCTTGCTGAAGCTGGCAACACAAACGCCATTCTTCCAAAGCTTTTAATTGCATAACAATAATAATGTCAAGGATTTGGCACCCCTTTATCAATGCCTCCCATTCACTCCCAAAGAGTCATCAGTTTTTTCCCCAATTTCTGCTTCATTACAATCTTGTCTCACACTTTCTCTCTCTAGGATCAACCAATGCCAGCAATTTGCTTTGTGGGTTCTGGTTTTCTTTGAAGAATATCGACAGAAAAGTAGCGATCTTGAAGCTTTATAGTGTCCCACACTCAAAAAGGTTCTTCATTATCTTGACCCTTTATTTTATTGCTATTTAATCTGATTTATTTTGTTGTTGGGCAGATGAACAAACTTTGACTGAGTTTACAAAGCTATTTTGACTTTTTTGGGGGGTTAGGGTTCTTCACTGATTAGCCAAAAAGAAGTCACTCCTCATTTTTTATATGAAAATAGTTGATGCACCCAAAAGGGTAGCTCTGATTTAGGTAGAACTTCTACCAGTAAAGATTGTACCCTTTTCTTTTATTTATTAAAGATTTTGATTTTAGTTTTCAAAGGTTCAGTGTAGATGGGAAATGTAAGAATCTTGAAGATAAATATACAAGTTATCAATGGCGTTTGTTGCTAAAACTCTAGAATTTGTGAGAAATTCTTGAGCTTTTTTGTCTGTATTTATTGAGTTTGAGGTGGGGTGTTTTCTTGAATGCTAGTTTAGTGATCATAGAGGTGGATTTGAATCCAATTATCATCTTTTTGTCTGAAAATCTTGATGGTTGGTAACATTGAGGTGATGGCTCCTGGTTTGTACTCAAATGGTGCGATTTCGAACGCTAATGGTTTAGAGGAAAAGCTAGATGAATTCTGTAGAATTCTTGGCAAATCCGATGGTGATTTGCTCAAAATTGTGGGAGTTGGGGCGGGTGCGTGGGGGAGTGTTTTTGCAGCTTTGCTTCAAGATACGTATGGACGGTTTCGCGACAAGATTCAAATCAGGATATGGAGGCGGGCAGGAAGATCTGTCGATAGAGAGACGGCCAAACTCTTATTTGAAGTGATCAATTCACGAGAAGATGTTTTAAGGAGGTTGATCAGGCGGTGTGCGTATTTGAAGTACGTTGAAGCAAGATTAGGAGATCGGGTTTTGTATGCTGACGAGATTTTGAAAGACGGGTTTTGCTTGAATATGATCGATACGCCACTTAGTCCAATGAAAGTTGTGACCAATTTGCAGGAGGCGGTTTGGGATGCTGATATCGTGGTGAATGGCGTGCCTTCGACTGAAACTCGTGAGGTTTTTGAAGAGATTGGTAAGTATTGGAAGGAGAGGATTAATCCGCCTATAATTGTATCGTTGTCAAAGGGTATAGAAGCCGCTTTGGATCCAGTTCCGCATATAATTACTCCGACTCAGATGATCAGCCGGGCAAGTAAGCATGTTTTACTCTTCGCCAATTGTGATATTGTTTCGTAATAGTTATGTAAATATGTAACCCCGGTGCACCAAGGCTCGTGATTCCGGGCCAAGATTATGTGCCCATGTCATCGGGTCCAGCAGTTGAATGACTGTCTCACAAGTTTCTTTTAAATCTATGACCTTCTGACAGATTTGAGAATATCAGTTGCATATATAAGAATCCCTAGAAACCTGTCAAAAAGTCATATCTTTAAATGTTCTTCGGATTCCTTAGATTAGTTAAGCCAAATGTTCCTGAAGATCGATATGTTTCAAATGTTACTGTATTTGCCTTGTAGCTGGGGTACCCATAGAGAACATTCTATATCTTGGCGGCCCGAATATTGCTTCCGAGATTTACAACAAGGAGTATGCCAATGCTCGAATCTGTGGCACTGAAAAGTGGAGGATTCCGCTTGCAAAGTTTCTGAGGCAACCCCATTTCATCGTATGGGACAATAGTGACCTTGTCACACACGAAGTCATGGGAGGCTTGAAAAACGTCTATGCAATTGGAGCCGGTAACGAGTTCTGTTCTTTCAACTTAAAAATTTTTCCATTTTTTGTGGCCAATTATGCTTACAACCCACCCCTCTGACCCAACTAATGGTAGAGGGGTTTGAGGAGAACTAGTTCAACTTGGGAGAGTTACAACTGCACTACTCTTTGGAGTCGATGGCAGGTATGCATACATCCCACCCTATAGACCCCGTCTCGGGTGGGACATACTTTGCTTATTTGGTTAAAACAACTGTTTTACTATGGGGTAGAAGTCAGATATGTGTACATCCCTATCCCACCCTTGCAAGCCCTGGCCCCACTTCTGGATGGGACATGCTAGGTTTGTTTAGATAGAAACAACTGTTTTTCTTTAGGGTAGAGGTTAAGGTTTGTATGTATTCCACCCCTATGGAACCCACGTTCGGGTGGGATATACTGGGTTTGTATGGTTAAAACATTTGTTTTTTTTTTTTGGATGTGTTCAGGAATGGTAGCTGCACTGACCAACGAAAGTGCGACCAGCAAATCCGTGTATTTCGCACATTGCACATCGGAGATGATATTCATCACCCATTTGTTGACGAAAGAACCTGAAAAGCTCGCTGGGCCGTTGCTCGCCGACACCTATGTGACGTTGCTGAAAGGGCGTAACGCTTGGTACGGTCAAATGATCGCCAAGGGTGAACTAAGCCTCGATATGGGCGATAGCATCAGTGGTAAGGGGATGATCCAGGTAAAAGGGGGTAGAGTTGAATGTGATATTTTTGTAGAGTTACTTTTGTTTCTTTATCTTAACGAAATTATTATAGAGAAACGGTCGGAGATACTGTAACTTCCTTGGGTTTTTCTTTTCAGGGTGTATCGGCGGTGGGAGCATTTTTCGAACTCCTTAGTCAATCAAGCTTAAGCGTTTTACATCCAAACGAAAACAAGCCCGTTGCACCAGTCGAGCTATGCCCCATCCTGAAAACCCTATACAAAATACTTATAAAGAGGTGATCTTTTTCTTTCTCTTGTACTTCTTTTGTCCCTATTCTAAAACCATAAGAGTGGTGTCTGATTGGTTTGAGCTTGGGCTCCAAATGCCAAAAGTGTCTGGAGGTCTCAGGTTTAAGTCCAAGGAGGAATGAAATTCCCCTTGTGGCCACTGAGGTTCGACTTCGGGATACCCACAAAGCAGGTGATCGTCCAAGGATTGATCAGTTCGTATAGCAGGTTGAATATCCACGTTAATCAAAAATAATAATAATAATAAGTATCCATATTTCTACTGAAGTTTGACCCAGAATAAGGGGGCACTTTCAAAAATAAGTGTCTACTTTCCAATACTATCTTTAAAAATTCATTACTCCTATATTATTAAGCATTTAGTTATTGAAAAATGTAATAATTACATATTTTCTAGAACGGTATAACATTTATTTTGAGATGGAGGGATATATTATATACGTGTAGCAATCAGAGCATCTGTTTGTGAACAAAATCATGGGTTCTAATGATCATAATCGTTTTTATCTGGTTTCAGAGAACAAGATCCACGAGCAATTCTTCAGGCATTGAGAGATGAAAACTTGAACGATCCTCGTGAAAGAATCGAGATCGCTCAAAGCCATGCGTTCTACAAGCCTTCATTGCTCGGCCAACCTTGACCGGTTTGCACAAAAAAACTGATTTTATTGATATAATTATAAGGTTGTTCTTCTGTAAACGTTTTTATCGTACCCACGAACTTTAACTTATATGTATATTTAGCTTTAAAGCTTTCATCTTGAATCGTGAAAATACTTTCGAATAGAATGCATTTCATGTTTGTGTCTAATTTGATTGTAATTAAATGAAAACAATACACATATCCTATAGAACTTTCATAATAATCGGTTGTAATTCGCAAATATTTAAGAGTTAGTTAAAAAAAGATAATTTAATTAAAGAAAAATTGCATCAAAATGGAATCAACTTTTACATGATTCCTAACAAACTTTAAAATCATTATGTCGGCTAAGAACCAACGAAGCCACACTAGCGGCATGAGCTTGATATTCAGCTACAGTACGTGATCGTTTCTTGCTATGCCATGAAACTAGCGAATCTCCAAGAAAGAAACAGTACCCCGTTGTAGATCGACGATCGGTAGGATCACATCCCTGTCTGCATCTGAGAATCCATGAGGAACCAAGGAGGAAAATGAAGTGCATGACAACATAGTACCCTTATGATAACAAAGAATCCGAAGAACTACTGCATAATGGTCTGAATGTGGTGTATACATGAACCAACTAACCACATGTACCACAAATGCGAGTTCAAAACGAGTAGCAATTAGTAGACAAGAGAACCAACTAACGGTGAAGAATCGCGAAGAGGAGAACCCGAACCTACCTAGTATGAGGTGAACGTTAGGCTCCAAAGGTGTAGGTGTCACTTTACTATCTGTAAGATTCGCTCAAGATAACTCGAGAAACCGGAGCAAATGTCTCCTTATAATCAATCCCATATCCTTGATTGAATCCTTTGGCAACTAAACGTGCTTTATAACAATCAATTGTACCATCAGACTTGTCTTAACTTTGTATGGACCCAATGCAAGCTTTGCCTTCAGAAAGAGAAACAAAGTCCCATGTATGTGCCTTCAGACATTTCTTGCTGCCAAAGAGGGTTAGAAGAAGCTTTTGTATAGGATGATGGCTCATGATGACATAGAGTGACATAACAGTGATAATCATGAAAGGTGAGAGGGAAGTTGTCTTAGCCGATCAGACCGACGTTCTGCTTGTGGTGGCTAGGATCCTCAGGCACAGTAGATGTCTGAGGAGAAGTCGTAAGTGGAGGATCAAACATTAATTGATGTGGTAATTAAAGATCAATTGGTTGTAGCAGATGGAGACGGCAATGGTATACCAGGTGGCATAATATTAATGGGGGTATCATGGTGAGGTGGAGGCGAAATGATGAATATAATGATGTCGGAGAAGCAGACGAAGGAGGTACAAGAAAACTGAAGATCGAAGAGGACATCTTAAGGTGACATGACCGGAGATTCAAAGTCTTTAAGATATGGAATTCCAACAACACAACAATAACCTTTATGTTGAATACGATAGCCTAGAAAGCAACATAAGCGAGAACGAGGTTCAGGTTTTGAGTGTTCATGAGGTTGTAACATGACAAAGCAATAACCCCATACTTGAAGAAAATTGTAATTAGGCACAGAGGTCTAGAGTACTTCATATGGAGATTGATGCTAAAGAAGAGGAGTTGGATGGAAATTCTACAAAGTGGTGTATGACTTGTACAAATCTTTCCATAGGGAAAATTCACCCTAGGTACATACGTCGTGATATTTTATGGTGTATATAGCGGATAACGCTGCTTCATCCCAAAACTGTTCTGGACAATTGGCAAAAAGAAGATGAGTGTGAATTGTGTCAAGAATGTGACGATGTTTTCTTTCAGCACGCCCATTTTGTTAGGAAGTATAGGACAAGAATATTGTGATACGATTCCTTGTTCGCAAAGAAAAGTAAGTATAGATGGTGCTTCATATTCCATGTCATTGTCTGGCAGAAATATTCTTATATTTTTGGAGAATTGAGTATGAATTATACAGACAAAGTTCATATATATTCATCGGATAAATCCATGTAAAACGAGTACGATCGTCAATGAATATTACAAAGTATTTCAACCCACCCACGGTAGGGTGTGGCGAAGGACCCCAAACATACGAGTGAATTAAATCAAAAGAAGTAGCTTGACATTCATTCAAAGAAAATGACATTGCATGTTTTTTACCAAGTTGACAAGACAAGCAAGAAAAATAAGTAATTTTAATAATTCCGAGACTACCACGAGACACTAAAAGTTTAAGTTTTTCAAATGCGTATGACCTAAACGAGCATGCCAAGTATCAGGAAAAAAAATGTTGGTTAATGTGGCAGCGAACATTGGCCAAGGACGAGCTGCTGAAGAAGGCAAACAAAGGTAGATTAGCTCAAACTTACGGCCTATCCCAATAGTCTGCTTGGCCTGGTGATCCTACAACACAACCAGAAGAAGAAAGATTAGACCAGAATAACACAATTGACCCACAAATAATAGGCCTAAAGAAAGCTTTGGAATGTAAACAGCATTAGAAAGAGACAATTGAGTAGTGGATACCTCACCACCAAACTTTACTAGAAGGCGTGTGCCATGAGCTGTGGACAGGGCCGTCCCTGGACGCACGCCCAGGGCCCAAAAATATCAAGGGCCCAAATTTTTTCCTTTAAAAATATATAGTAGTCTAAAAAAATTTAATAAATTAAAGAAACCAAAAAATTGTAGCATATAATAAGAGACAAAAATAATTTAGTAGATAATAAGGGCCAAAAAATATATCAACTAATTACATTAGAGAAAAAAATAAAAAAAAATTAATTGGTTATTCATTATATGCTATTGTTTATTACCCCTCTAATTTTTTTTATCTCCAACAAAGTCCAATGATATTGGCTATTGTTATCTCTATATACTTGACTATTTTCGTGCTTCAACAATTCAACGTTAAGATCATGTGCTTGCTATTGCTATATATTTTTGTTAGATATTTTTATCAATTTCTATTTTTATTGACTATTGCTATTTGGTTATGTTGTTCTAATTGTTTTTGTTGACTATTGTTATCTAATTTTGTTTCTACATAAAATATTTTACTTTTTTTTACAATTAATCTATTGTTCTTATGATTTATGACGTGTTTCATGGTTTTGTGATTAATCAATAAATTTTTTCTACTAGATGTATTTAGTAATGTCTCTTATATATGTCATGTTTCATAAACTTTTAATATTAACATCTTATTTTAGTTGAGCAAAAAAAAAAGGAAAATAGAATTTAAATATTTTCATCAATTGTTTGACTTATGTATCTTTCATTGGGATTCCACCACACCACAAGATTCTATTTAAATGCTCAAACAATCATTTGTTGAGTTTGCATATTATATGTTTAATTCATTATTTATTTTTACTAGATCTCAATAGATCATCTTTTCTTTCATATTCTTATTGATCTTCATTTGTCTACTTGTCTAGAAAACCTTGATAATCTTCTTTATTATTTATCTCTCATTGACCTCACGTTTATTTCATTAACACGAAATCTCTTTTTGTATCAAAATAACACATATTTCTTGTTATAAAGTAAATTTTTTTACTTTTTATAAAAATTTATCAACCATAGTTTCTATACTCTTGGTTTAAAATTACATAATAAAAAGTACGTAAATTTAAGTACTCTCTTGTATATCTATAGTAAAGATAAATAAGATTTATTTACTCAATAAATTATTAGCATTTCTTGTACTCAATTTTATACTAATGAAAAACATTTATTACCGGAGGTCACTACAAGAAAAGTGAGCTTTGACAATACGCCTTTTAGCGATGACATGTGTCACAACTTATAGCGATGACATGTTGTTGTTATATACTCTTTCTAATGATAAACGGATTTTTAACGACAACAAAAGTCGTTGCTAAAAGCCTTGTTTCTTGCAGTGGGGCCCTTGTTTTTATGTTCGCCCAGGGCCTAAAAAATGTCAGAAACGGGCCTGGCTGTGGATACTGATAATAGACGTCCTGGTTGTTTTTTGTAGGAAAATATCTCAGATTTGGATGTCATATAATTGCAACATCCAGAATCAAATAACCATGTTACTTGACTGCATTAGTACTCATAGAGCCAGACATAAGTTGATTCATCATTTCTTGAGTATTCGTCATCATTTCAGCAAGATCATCTGGACTGTATGTTGAGGAGCTAGATCCAGATGTCATGGGAAACTGATGTTATGTAGTAGCAGAACCAACCATCGGTTTTCCTCGATTAAGATGCTTGTAACAGTCATTAACATAGTGGCGTGGGTGTTTCTTGTTACAAAATTTGCAAATACGTACGGGGCAGTTGAGCAAATTATGTGATATATCGTGACAGTAGTTGCACTTGGAAGAGAACTGTGTCTTGCAGAATTAGAGACATTGATTACCACTAAAGTTTCAAGTACCTCAAGGATGATTCAGAGATGTAGATTGTAGAACATGTAATGTCGAGTCAGACACCATTAGAGAAGCCTGAGCTGCTCGTTGAGGAGTATGAAGAACCGAGTCACTGGAAAGATGAGGACTTTATGGTGCCTCCTTGCTTCAACACTAATAAGTTCAGCAACAGCTTCATTTATGGTAGGACACTTGGTGTGTGATCTAATAGACTTGATCGAACATTCTCATGGTGATTTGAAAGTGCCATCCCATAAGAAAATTGATCAAGTGCAATTGATCAAAATAATCAGTAAACTGTTGAACACAAATAGGACCTTTCAATTTAGGGGCAGCCAACAGTGATTGGTCTTTGATGATTTGTATCTCAAGAGACAAATGAAGAAATGGATTGTCCTGATTGTTTACGTTTTCTCTAGAAGGCTGATCATAACTAATATTGATGAACAAGTCCTGTAGTTTAATACTACTTCTGAATAAAATCTCATGCCTCTTTTGCAGTATTGTACATCAAAAATTGTTGAAGTATGGTGGATGTGGCATTGAACAAGGACAATTTTAGCATTCTTGATATCCCATTCATTAACGGGTTTAGCAAATTCAGCATTGTTCTCTTTATCACCTTCATTTTGACTTGACTTGAGATGAAGGAACTCGTTCAACGTGATAAAGAGAAGGATGCTAAAGCAAATTCTAGTCGTGTTCATTGAGGATGGGCGCAATTAGATGATGGTGAACG